ATGTGCCCCTTGACCAAATCATTCTTTGTCTGCTCAAAAAGGCAAAAAGCCCAGAAGTTTCTCTCCCAAATTAAGCACAAAGACACCTCATAGGACCTTTGGGGCTTCACCTCAAACCTGGGGCTGCCCAACTGGACAGAGGCCAAGAGGTGCCCAGATAATTCACTAGAAAAAAAGAACAAAGGAAATATTCACTTGTGTGAGGTGTTTTAGCAGGAGCAAAAACCTCTTGTTCCTTACCTCATTTTTTCTCTGTAGGAACTTTGTTATTTTGCCTTTTATTAGGATTTTCCTGTTTCCAGCACTCCTGAGAAGCCCCCCTGGCCCTTGGGTGCTGTTGGGCTGGCTGAGCTCTGGGGTGTGGTGGCTCCCTGGAGGAGCTGCCCGGGGTGGCCCTGGGTGACCCTGGGTGATCCTGGGTGTTCCTGGGTGATCCTGGGTGGCCCTGGGTGACCCTGGGTGGCCTGGGGTGGCCCTGGGTGATCCTGGGTGACCCTGGGTGGCCCTAGGTGGCCCTGGGTGATCCTGGGTGACCCTGGGTGATCCTGGGCGGCCCTGGGTGATCCTGGGTGATCCTGGGTGACCCTGGGTGATCCTGGGTGACCCTGGGTGGCCCTGGGTGATCCTGGGTGACCCTGGGTGATCCTGGGCGGCCCTGGGTGATCCTGGGTGATCCTGGGTGACCCTGGGTGGCCCTGGGTGGCCCTGGGTGATCCTGGGTGGCTCTGGGTGACCCTGGGTGGCCCTGGGTGGCCCTGGGTGATCCTGGGTGATCCTGGGTGGCTCTGGGTGGCCCGGGGTGATCCTGGGTGATCCTGGGTGGCCCTGGGTGACCCTGGGTGGCCCTGGGTGGCCCTGGGTGATCCTGGGTGGCCCTGGGTGATCCTGGGTGACCCTGGGTGATCCTGGGTGATCCTGGGTCGCCCTGGGTGATCCTGGTTGACCCTGGGTGATCCTGGGTGGCCCGGGGTGACCCTGGGTGGCCCTGGGTGACCCTGGGTGGCCCTGGGTGATCCTGGGTGACCCTGGGTGGCCCTGGGTGACCCTGGGTGGCCCTGGGTGGCCCTGGGTGACCCTGGGTGGCCCTGGGTGGCCCTGGGTGATCCTGGGTGGCCCTGGGTGACCCTGGGTGGCCTGGGTGGCTCTGGGTGATCCTGGGTGGCCCTGGGTGACCCTGTCCCTGCAGGTGACGCCACGGTGACCATCTCGCACCGCTACACGCCCAAGGAGCAGCTGAAGCAGCACACGATCCGCGCCGACATCGTGGTGGCCGCCGCNATGTGCCCCTTGACCAAATCATTCTTTGTCTGCTCAAAAAGGCAAAAAGCCCAGAAGTTTCTCTCCCAAATTAAGCACAAAGACACCTCATAGGATGCCTCAAACCTGGGGCTGCCCAACTGGACAGAGGCCAAGAGGTGCCCAGATAATTCACTAGAAAAAAAGAACAAAGGAAATATTCGCTTTTGTGAGGTGTTTTAGCAGGAGCAAAAACCTCTTGTTCCTTGCCTCATTTTTTCTCTGTAGGAACTTTGTTATTTTGCCTTTTATTAGAATTTTCCTGTTTCCAGCACTCCTGAGAAGCTCCCCTGGCCCTTGGGTGCTGTTGGGCTGGCTGAGCTCTGGGGTGTGGTGGCTCCCTGGAGGAGCTGCCTGGGGTGATCCTGGGTGGCCCTGGGTGATCCTGGGTGATCCTGGGTGGCCCTGGGTGACCCTGGGTGATCCTGGGTGGCCCTGGGTGATCCTGGTTGACCCTGGGTGGCCCTGGGTGGCCCTGGGTGGCTCTGGGTGATCCTGGGTGATCCTGGGTGGCCCTGGGTGGCCCTGGGTGGCTCTGGGTGGCCCTGGGTGGCCCTGGGTGACCCTGGATGGCCCTGGGTGATCCTGGTTGATCCTGGGTGAACCTGGGTGGCCCTGGGTGACCCTGGGTGGCCCTGGGTGACCCTGGGTGGCCCTGGGTGATCCTGGGTGACCCTGGGTGGCTCTGGGTGGCCCTGGGTGATCCTGGGTGATCCTGGGTGACCCTGGGTGACCCTGGGTGATCCTGGGTGGCTCTGGGTGGCCCTGGGTGGCCCTGGGTGACCCTGGGTGATCCTGGGTGATCCTGGTTGGCCCTGGGTGATCCTGGGTGGCCCGGGGTGGCCCTGGGTGGCCCTGGGTGACCCTGGGTGGCCCTGGGTGGCCCTGGGTGGCTCTGGGTGGTCCTGGGTGGCCCTGGGTGACCCTGTCCCCGCAGGTGACGCCACGGTGACCATCTCGCACCGCTACACGCCCAAGGAGCAGCTGAAGCAGCACACGATCCGCGCCGACATCGTGGTGGCCGCCGC